AATGTCAAAGTATTTAATTAAATTCTTTAGCAGAAGTACCATTTTTAAATACTAAAAATACTAAGTCAACTGGCATAAGCCACCAACCTAACAAAAAACACGAGTCCTGATAAAAAAAAATGATAATCTCAAGTACAGATGGACGCTCCTTCAAAAAGTACCACCTTGACATTAAAATACAACTAATTGGGGTTATCTATCTGTCATTATCATCATCAAAATTAAATTCTTTGAATATGTCAATATAAACGATTACTTTTGAAAAGTGGCAAATTAAGAAAATAATATTTATCAAAAATGTTTCAGAAAAATCAAAATTTCAAATTAACCATACACAACATATATACAATAAAAATTATGTGTCTCATAATCTATTGATATTTAAATGTCAAAGTAAAAAAAATGACACAGTAAAAAAAATATTTGTTAATTTTAACCAAATATTAACCAGATTCTTTGTTAATCCAGGTCCACATTTAATAACAAAATTCCAGGTCAATAATTCAACCATAATTCTTGTAGACCCAGTATCAAAAGTATTTGTTGATGGGTATTGTCAGTGGGAAATATCTTGAAATCGCGTGTACTTTTTCAACGAAATAATTTGCTACACATTAACAAAATAATCCGTAACCTTTGAAAATTAACAAAATGCTTACAAAATTGCATTGCAATTATATGCAATATACATATTACCTTTATAAAACTCAATCAACCTTCTGTCCCTGTAAAGCTAATTTTCATAGAAAAATAATAAAGTTTGTTTTTTGGTATTTTTAATATTAAAAATTGGTACAACTGTTCAATTTTACTTTGACATTTTGATTTAAATGTCAAAGATAGCAAAACATTCTAAACAATTTGTTTTAATTGATTATTTCCCTCATTATAATATGAACCAATCAAAAGCCTTGAATTTTCGAATAAATTTCGTTTAAATAAGCGATTAAATCACTAGAACTATTTAACAGCGATTAAATTTTAGCCTCCATATTGGATTTTTGTTTACGATTTTATGGTGTTATTTACAAGTTTTAACAAACATTTTTTTAAAAACATTAAAAAATAAGTTATCTAGTTTACGAAATATCAATTATTACTTATTACATACCTTAAATTAATGGAATTTTCTTTAAAAAACTATTTATAAATTTTGACACATACGTCAGATTTTATGAATTGTCAAATAGTTTCCTTTAATTCGAGAAATAATCTAGACGTATATCACTCAACCTATAAATTTAATCTGTCAAACTATGCTTAGTAAGTTCTTTATTTGATTTTTCTTTTTGAAAAATAGTTTCATGCAAAATAATTAAAAATAAAACCCCTCGACCGCTACGCGGTCTCGTGATTTTATTAAATTATTTTGCATTCAACATTTTCCAAGAAAAACCAAACAAAAAACTACTGAGCCTAGTTTAACCGATTAAATTCATAGTTCTCGTGATATAATATATGAATAATTAATTTAATCCACTAAATAATTTTAAAATTTTTGACGTTAAATTCCGAATAAAAGAAAACAAAAATAATTTTGTCTTATTTTCTGAAAATACCGAAAATTTTTGACGTTAAATTCCGAATAAAAGAAAACAAAAATAATTTTGTCTTATTTTCTGAAAATACCTCGGAAAATACTACAACATATGTATTTTTTATAGTCTTAATTTAAAAGAAACCTAATAAAATTAAATGGAAATCGTGAAGTCATAAAAATAGTAATTAACTGAAAAACTTTAAAAAAACATCATAAAAGATAAAATAATAAATATACCCAACTCATTTCCCAACATAAAAAATAGTAGTGGTAGTATATCTATTAGGTGTCATTTTGACATAAAAAATCTCTGAAAACCTCAAAGTCATAATAACCATTTTTTTCCTTAGTTCCCACATACAGGGTGAGTTTTAAGTTGACGCGTTCCTTTTAACAGGAGTGCGTTCATAAAGGAAATCTGATTATAGGGTGTTTATCTCGTGTGTAATGTGAGTTTTGCGCGGAGTGTTCCTAGGGTGCTGGGTGGTTTTTGAACGCCTGACATTTCGATTGTCACAATTGGCGTTTTTGACGTCAAAGTTAACCTTATGGAAGCAGCTATATTTTGTTCCAGTTTGGGCGTCCAAGCATTATTTGAAATTCCAATTGCTTTTTCTGATGCAGACGACGAAAGTAGTAGCGATAACGATGAAGTTATGTTAATGGCAGGAAGGAAGGAAATCTATAAATCAGGCTTTATGCTTAATTAAATCTGGATAGAATTAAGTTAATTTTGTCCAGATACTTGGATTAAAAATTATGATACAATTATCGATTATGTTACATATAATTTTCAAGCTTTGTTTTAAGAAAAATTTATGTTACAATTCGATAATTATGTTACAAATGGCAACACTGAAGTCGTGTGAAAAACGCCGGTGTTGTAGAAGCGGTAATTTTCGAACACTCTAAGTGTAGAACTAGGTATTTTATGAACGGTTACACAAAATGTGCACAACGCATAAAATCCGTTTATGAACGACCTTGTGTGCTGGAGTTTACCCCGAGCGTTCTTTATGAACGCACTCCAGTGTGTATAAATCAGCTAGACAAATAAATATTTTAAGTAACTTTTTTATCAAAACTCAAAAATAAAAAAGTTATAGCCCATCAAAGTTTAATTAAATTTTAAGCCGGTCCTGGCTATTGTTAACGAAAAACATAACCATAAAAATATCAAAATAAACAATGCAAAATGTCATATTTGACAACAAACATAACCATTTAAATCAAATTGACATTTTGCAATAAAAAATGTCATTATTTACTTAAGTTGCAGCATTTGCATTTTGACGACACTCTCCATAAATTAGTAACATTTACACTAATTCATTATTGCTATAATTATGAACCATTTTTAACAATAATTGAGGAACAAAAAAACTTGTCATTTTGATTTAAATGGTTATGTTTGTTGTCATAGATGACATTTTGCATTGTTTATTTTGTTATTTTTATTTTTAACAATAGCCAGGACCGGCTCAAAATTTAATTAAACTTGGAAGGCCTATAACTTTTTTATTTTTGACTCAAAAATTTTGAGTTTTGATAAAAAAGTTACATAAAATATTCATTTGTTTATCTGATTTCTACACGCCGTTAAAAGGAACGCGTCAACTTAAAACTCACCCTGTATAACAAATCCCGTCGTGCCCGCTACATTTGTTTACATTTGACGCCGCAAACACGGGGCCACCCTTTTTCGAACAACATCCACCCCCTCGTGTCGTGCGGCTTTTGCCTTTTCGCCGCAAAACGAGATGCAAGAGCGCAAAAGTGAGCGCGACAGGGTGCGCCGGTCTAGACGGGCTGCCAAAGGGCGCTCACCCCAAACAGCCAGTCAAAATAAAACCGAACACACGAAAAAAAACCCTCCCCGCAACCCCACCTACGGCAAAAAGGACATCGGTCGCAAAAAACACCTGTTAGCTCATGAGCTCCATAATATTTGCGTTAAAGATGAAACGGCCATTTTTAAAGGGATTAGAAGGAAAGGTAACTTCCTGTCATCGGTGGATGTCCCCCTTTAGATGCCCAAATCTCATTCTTCTTCGCGTATAAATAGCTTTCTTTCCTGCATCCGGTCGGGCTTAGCGTCGCAGGGGATCGAGATTTAAAATTAGAAACAGGCACAACGAAATTAAAACATGAAAAAATTAACGGGCGGAAAGACATTTTTCAATGTTTATCTCCTGTTCGTTTTTATCAATGTTTGTCAGTGTCGATTCCAATTTGCCCGGTTATCGGCTTCCGGTGATGCATCAATGACAAACTCGTTGTATATTTCCCGTAAAAAACCATCGAAAAACATTTTTACATCGGCAGAATAATATTTTTATGTGCCTCGTTACGTAAACGCTTTAAAATTATGAATTTATTGAAATATCCAGCAATCCTTGACGTTTAAAAACGTCAAACAACTAAAAATATGTTAAAAACTAAGCATGCCTTGGTATTTTAAAAGATACCATCGATTTAAAATATCAAGGCAGCCTTATTTTTCAACATACTTTTAGTTTTTTGACGTTTAAACGTCAAATTATCAAGGATTGCTAGAAATAAAAAATGCAAAATTTTCCGACAAATATTTATAAAATAATCACTATTCAATAATGTAAATTCTAGGAATACTTGTGACGCATGCATATTCTTCAAACGAATAAATCCCAACCATAATTACAGTAAAACTCGATTTAAAACTGTTTAAATCGTAGCCATCATTGAAAAACGAATTAAAATCACGTCTCCTTATTCTTTTAACTCGTTTAATACGTGATAGTTAAAGTGACGTACCTTAAAATCCTGGTAAAACCTTCCGAATTTCGCACATTTGACTCGAAAAGGCACTTTTTACACGTAAAAAACAGTTTTTCGACAAAGTTTCGGTATTTTCTTGACAGTGAATACGCCCTCCTTTGCTTTGACAGCTGTCAAACGCCCAAAACAAATGATTATCGCCGTCAGTCTTCTTTAAAGTATTTGTACTGCTTTATTCGGTGTATATCTGTATAAAAACAACAAGTTCTATGAAAATATCTCAAGCACTTTCAAAGTTTTACGGCTCGCGACCGCACACAACACTCGGTTCTAATGGAAATATCAAGAAATCAAAGAAATGTCAAAGACGTGACGTCATCTAACAAAACAAACGCCCACCGGGAACACCAACCGCTCGCCCCAACAACCTCATTTAATCCGCGCACTTAAAAAAATCCTCAACCACAACAATCAACATAAAAAACAAAACAAAATACAACAACAATCAAAACCCAAGTGATAAATCAACAAATCTCAATATTTATTGAAATTTAGGTGACGATACTTGGTTGTGCGGTAGGGCTTGTTTTCGCAAGAATGCAACAGAATGCACAAAAAACCCCACGTCAAAACAACATAACCTGCATAATGAACATGGAAGATTGTGAAAAAAGGCCACAATTTGGAAACCGTTTTCTACAGGATGATGCAGATGTATTCCAGCATAATGCGTGGTAGGAATTTAGTTAATTTTGCCGTTAAATCGCGGTTATGTCAACGAGATACAAGGTTTAGAAAAAAACCTAAATATGGTTCTAGATACCTAAAAAATAATTCTAATGTGTTTTCTTTTAATGCTTGGTATATTAATAAGTTGTATTTATGAATTTAAGTTATTTTTTTATATTTTAGGGATGATGTTGATTGGGATGAAACACAAGAAGCTGAAGCGTTAAAAAAAGTACAAATTAACAGCACAGTAAAATTTTCTGATTCTGATATTGAGAAATATGAAACCGAGGCCGATAAAAACTGGGATAAATTTTACGATATACACACAAATAGATTTTTTAAAGACCGCCACTGGTTATTTACAGAATTTCCGGAATTGGCAAGTGAAAACTCAGAAGGCCAAAAAACTATTTTTGAAATTGGCTGTGGGGTTGGCAATACGGTTTTTCCCATATTGCAGTATTCCAAGAGTGAAAATATTTTTATATATTGCTCAGATTTTTCAAGTAAAGCTATAGATATATTAAAGGAAACGGAAATGTATGACGAAAATAGGTGTAAAGCTTTTGTTTTGGATGCTACACAGGAAAACTGGGATGTTCCATTTGAGAAAAATAGTGTGGATATTATAGTTTTAATATTTGTACTTTCAGCAATAAATCCTGAGAAGTATGTATCTATATATTTTTCTTACTGAAATTTTTGCAAAACCTTAAAAAAATTTATTTTTATGTTAATTTCAAGTTTCAGCTTGTAGTTTTTGAGAAACAAAGGTGACATTAAAACTGTAATAGATATGATTTTGAAATTTGTACACAATATTTAAATACTCAACATATTATAGTTTTTACCAATATAATTTTTTTTAGGTTTCAACATGTAGCAAAACAAATTTCAAACTACTTAAAACCAGGTGGTTTAATTTTATTCCGTGATTATGGGAGATATGACTTGGCCCAGTTAAGATTTAAACCAGGACGTTGTTTGGGGGACAATTTCTATGTAAGGGGTGATGGAACCAGGGTATATTTTTTCACACAGGGTAAAATATTTAAAAAAAAAACACTATTTATACGATTTTTATTATTTTTTTATTTTTTTTAGGGGAAGTAAAGGATATTTTTGAAAGTGTTGGGCTCCAGGAACTAGAAAATAGGGCTGATAGAAGACTACAGGTTAATAGGGGCAAACAATTAAAAATGTACAGAGTTTGGATACAAGCTAAATACAAAAAACCTGAATAAATATTTTTATGAGATTTTTTTTTGCTTTTAAACCAGTTATTTTCTATTAAAAACACTTGGAATTACCAAATTGGTGTTTCAATCCAGGGTTGTCAGATGTTGAATAGGGAATTTGTCCTACCATTTTTTAAATTTATCCCACCGTGCAAATTTGTCCCATCATTTTTATCTTTATGCTACCGTGCATTTTTTAACTACAAAAAACATAAATGTTAATGTGCAGTTTTTAATCACCCCGTTTTAAATAAACTAAATGTAAGGGCAGTTTTCGAATATCCAATTTTGTTACAACGGCAACACTGCTAACGCGAATTTCGCAAAGAAAAATATCGGGGGATAAGAAATAACCTAAATTCATGCTAAATATTTTGTTTTATTTTTTTATACTTAATATACGTTATATTGTATGTTTTTATTCGTAATAATTTCAAAATTATTGTACAAAACTAGATAACTATAGTCGTTATTGTTTATTGTACGCCTGGCAACCACAAATATAAATTATATATTATATAATCTAAATGCCGGTTTTTTTCTGAAAACAATGGCGCCATCTATGATTTATCCTTTCAACTGTCAGTATTACAATGTTGCCAACTTGTGGCGTTTTTTTTAATTTTCACACAATAAATAAGCATATTTAATCGTTAAAAATATGAATAAGAACACAAAATTACATAAATGATCTAAAATTATCGATAATTTGTGTAAATTTTATATGATTTTAACAAAATTAACCTCGGAGAATTTCATTTTTTTGACAGCGAAGTCTGTCAACCCAGCTACTTTAGCTAATCCATGAAGCATATTCGGTGGCAATTTCGTATAAAGTTTAACAATGGATCGAGATAAAAATAAAGAGTTTTACTCCGATTTTTTAGGGTTTATGATGGTGGAAGATGATTTACCGAATTGTTCTGTGGATATTGATGATGCTATACCAATGTATGTTGATTTTATAAAGATAAAGTCCATGAGCCGTATGGAATTTAAGGAGATATGTAGTAGAATGTGTAAATATCGAATTATATTGTATGAAAGCGAAAATATAATAACTTTGTCACATGAGTTAATGCTGCGTTTAGAGTACAACCAAGTGGGATCTAAAAAGAATTATAACTTGATTGAGAAGCGTTACTTGGATGAGTATGTGTGTAAATTATGTAACACAAAGTTCAATGCACACTCTGAGTTTAAATATCACAAAAAAACTAAAAGGCATGAAACAAGAATCATGTATTTGATTTCACGAATCGGTGATAATAACAATTTAATGTTGCTCGATGATAATTTAAATCAATTAAATCAAATAACGGTCACACAGGGCACCAGGGCATCTGTTAATGTTAAGTTAATGAATGACACCCCAAGCATGTGCAAAATTACGCATGTTTTTGTATTGAACACTTATTTAAATGTAAATCTGATACATACCGACAAACTACCATTTAAGGTTAAACCCAAATCAACAATCCGTGTACAATTAAACTGTACTTTTAAAGAAGATATCACGTTACTGCTGGGAGTTATCATGCAAAATTCACACAATACAATGAGAGTTGTAAAAAAACTTAAAATTAGGTTGACAGATCTAAGTGTGAATCCCCCAATAGCAAGAGATGGTCATGATGATGAGATTATACCAGGTATACCACTACCAGAAAATAACAGTCCCTTTATATCAGTAAACATAACAAAACCATATAACCCACCTGAAAATACCCTGGAAGTTCTTGAAGAAATGGCAAAGGAAGTGCCTGTTCCAAGAATGAAATGTTCCGTGGATACCTCGCAAGAACTGTATGCTACTAAGCAAAACTATGAAAATTTTTTTCATCACCTATTGTATGAGGAAGAACTGCAAATGAGGAAGGATATTAAGGTGTACAATACTCGAGCCCCTTTGGAGTCCACTGGGTTTTTGTTCAGATTAGAAGTGCCTGGTTTAGCCGAGTCAAGACCGTCTTTAATACGAGGCGATGCCGTGTATGTGAAGGAAAACGAAAAAACCCGAAGAAAATTCGAGGGAATTGTACACAAGTTGGAGAAGAATTCCGTTTTACTCGGGTTTGACTCCAGCATCAAACCTTTAGCCATTAGGAACTTAAATTTCTTCATCGAGTTCAGTTTCAATCGATTACCAATAAAAGTTGAACATCAGGCGTGTAAATTGGTGATGGAGCATCAATTTTTAAAATTTGTATTTCCTGAGTTAAGAAAGTTAAAGTATGGTGATCACAAGCCGAATTATTTCAATAGGAACTTGAATGAGAAACAAAAAATCGCCGTGGCTAATATACTGAATGCCCCTCAAAATTCCCAACCGTATTTAATTTTCGGACCACCCGGTACAGGGAAAACTTCCACGCTTGTGGAGGCAATAAGACAAATTCACAAGTATGAAGAAAATTCGAGAATTTTGGTTTGCGCTCCCACCAACTCCGCAGTGGACGAATTGGCCTTGAAACTGTTAAAAAACATACCCACCTCGGAAATGCTGCGTTTCGTGGCCCTATCTTACTCCAGAAGCCTCAAAAACTCCAAATTACAGGAAGTTGTGAACGTCAAACGCGGCGAGTTTTTTACACCCACCATCGAACAACTCGAAAAATACAGAATCGTTTTAACCACAAACATAAATGCGGCTAAATTCTACTGCGGTGATGTGAAACCGAATCACTTTAATTACGTCATCATAGACGAGGCAGGGTATTTAACGGAAACCGAGACGTTGGTACCACTGGCCGGAGTGTTGACGCACCAAACTTTCAAAGGGGAAGTACATGGTAAGTTGGTTCTGGCGGGGGATCCCAGACAGTTGGGACCCAGAATCCACTCCAAAACGGCTGCCAAATACGGTTTCGGGGTTTCCCTGATCGAAAGATTGATCGATAGCTGCGAGTTATACCAACCTGAGAAAGAAAATTGGGACGATGTAAACTACGACTACAACGAAAAATATATAACGTTGCTGGAAATGAACTACAGGTCGCACCAGGCGATTTTAAAGGCCCCCAACGAGTTTTTCTACAACGATAAACTCATAGCTGCGGAGGAAAATGTATCGATGCTTTTCAACAAGTGGGAGGACCTCCCGACCAAAGGTTTCCCCATTATTTTTCACAATGTGGTTGGGGAAGACGCCATGGAAAAAAACTCACCGAGTTTTTACAACGCCAAGGAGGTGAAACGAGTTGTAGCATATATTAAAGTGCTTCTGGACACTAAAGTACAAGGGGTGCAAATTTCGCAGGACGATATAGGTGTTATAACCCCTTTTATAAAACAAATAGAGAAACTACATGCTGAAACCTCTAAAAATAACTGGAATAAAATCCTTGTGGGTACTGTGGAACAGTTCCAAGGCAAAGAACGGACCATAATAATTATATCAGCAGTCCGATCCAAGAAGGAATTGGTGAAATTCGATAAAACTTTCGACCTGGGTTTTCTGGCCAACCCGAAACGTTTCAATGTTGCCGTAACGAGGGCCAAAAGTTTGGTTATTTTGATTGGCAACGCTGGTATTCTGCAACACGACAAATATTGGAGACGCTATATCGAATACTGCATCGAAAATAAATCAGTAAAAGGTGCAAAATTTATTCTCTCAGAATCCATGGAAGATTTTGAAAAGGACGATGATGTTACAACTGATGTTGTAGATTTTTCCAGGGGAAATATGTAATTTGAATGTGTTTACACTATAAGTATTCAAAAGTATTGATAATAATAATTCTGTTATATAAATAAAAGGAAATGTTAATTTTTTTTTGTATGAAATATTAAATTATTTTTTTATGATTTGTTAATAAATATTGTTCTTCTATATCTGTTTTTTATTTAACCTTTATCTATAACTGAAACGTTGGTAATCAGCGACCCTAAAAACCCCATGTTGCTAAATTTGAGCAATATCTGACAATTTTGTTTTTCAAATACCAGGTGCCGTCCATAAATCTCCTGACGCCTACACTACACTAATGTGGTTAATAGTAGAGTTTTTAATGATAAACATTGTAATGGGTAATCTACTAAACAATTTAATATTAATAACGGACTTTTTTATTCGTAATAATTGCAAAATACGATAACTATAGTCATAATTTTGTATCATGCGAACTCTGGCAACTTCTAATTTAATTTACATGCATGTACTTTACTGAAAACAATGGAGCCATCTATGTTTTATTATTCCAACTTTTAGTATTCCTTTGTTGTCAACTTGTGACGTATAATTCATTTTCACATAATAAATAAGCATATTTACAAATTAAAAACATTAACAAAAACACAAAATTACGTAAATGTTTTAAAATTATCAATAATTATTGTAAAACTTGTATGTTTTTAACAAAAATTATCACAGATGGGTTAATTTTTTTGACAGCGAAGTCTGTCAACACTGTTGCGAGTGGTTATCGGAATTAAAGCTGTCTTAGCATATTAAGTTGCATTTGCGTAACAAATTAATTTGTTATAAAGTTCAACAATGGGTCGAGATGAAAAAAAAGAACTTTACTTTGATTTTTTGGATTTTTTGATGGCAGAAGATGATTTACCTAATTGTTCTTTGGATGTTTATCATGCCATTTTATTGTATGCGGAATTTATGAAGATAGAGCCTATGAGTCGTTCGAAATTTAGGGAGATAAGTAGTAGAATGTTTAAAAATCACATTATATTGTATATAAGACAAAAAAGGATAACTTTGTCCCATAAGTTAATGTTGCGTTTAGAGTATGACCACGTAGGATCTGAAAATGACTATAACTTGATTGAGAACCGTTATATGGGCCAGGAACTATGTAAATTATGTAATACGAAGTTCAATGTACACTCTGAGTTTGTAAAACACAAGAAAACCGAAAGACATGTAACAAGAATCATGTATTTGACTTCACAGGTGGTCGAGAATAACAATATTAAGTTGCTCGATAATAATTTAATTCAATTTGATAAAATAACGTTCACACAGAGGACTAAGGCATTTGTAAATGTTAAGTTAATGAATAACACCACCAGCATGTACAAGATTTTAGATGTTTTTCAGTTGAACACTCATTTTGATGTAAATCTGAAATATTTGGACAAACTACCAATCAACTGTGAACCCAAATCAACAATCTGTGTACAACTAATGGGTACTTTTAAAGAAGCCCAAGATTTCACGTTACTGCTGGGAATTATCATGCAAAATTCGCAAAATACAATGAGAGTTGTAAAAAAACTTAACATCAAGGTTAAAAAATCGTTGACAGATCAATATGTGAAACCCCCAATAACAAGAGATGACGATGACGATGAGGTTATACCAGGTGAACCACTACCAGAAAATGACAGTCCCTTTATACCAATAAACAAAGCAGAACTGCACAAACCACCAAAGAATACCTTGAAGATGCTTGAAGAAATGGCAAAGAAAGTGCCCATTCCGAGAAAGAAATGTTCCGTGGACAACTCGCAAGAACTGTATGCTACTAAGCAAAACTATGAAAAATTTTTCCATCACCTGTTGTACGAGGAAGAACTGCAAATGAGGAAGGATATTAAGTTGTACAATACTCGAGCCCCTTTGGAGTTCATTGGGTTTTTGTACAGATTACAAGTGCCAGGTTTAGCTGAGTCCAGACCGTCTTTAATACGAGGCGATTCCGTTTATGTAAAGGAAAGTGAAAATTCCAGAAGGAAATTCCAGGGAATTGTACACAAGTTGGAGAAGAATTCCGTTTTGCTTGGGTTTAACTCCAGCATCAAACCTTTAGCCATTAGGAACTTAAAGTTCTTCATCGAGTTCAGTTTCAATAGATTACCGATAAGAGTTGAACATCAGGCGTGCAAATTGGTGATGGAGCATCAATTTATAAAATTTTTATTTCCTGAATTAAGAAAGTTAAAGTATGGTGATCACAAGCCGAATTATTTTGATAGGAACTTGAATGAAAAACAAAAAATCGCCGTGGCTAATATACTGAACGCTCCTCAAAATTCCCAACCGTATTTAATTTTCGGACCACCCGGTACAGGGAAAACTTCTACGCTTGTGGAGGCAATAAGACAAATTCACAGGTATGAACAAAATTCGAGAATTTTGGTTTGCGGTCCCTCCAACTCCGCAGTGGACGAATTGGCCTTGAAACTGTTAAAAAACATACCCACCTCGGAAATGCTGCGTTTCGTGGCCCTATCTTACTCCAGAAGCCTCAAAGACTCCAAATTACAGGAAATTGTGAACGTCAAACACGGCGAGTTTTTTACACCCACCATCGCACAACTCCAAAAATACAGAATCGTTTTAACCACAAACATAAATGCGGCTAAATTCCACTGCGGTGATGTAAAACCGAATCACTTTAATTACGTCATCATAGACGAGGCAGGGTATTTAACGGAAACCGAGACGTTGGTACCACTGGCCGGAGTGTTGACGCACCAAACTTTCAAAGGGGAAGTGCATGGTAAGTTGGTTCTGGCGGGGGATCCCAGACAGTTGGGACCCAGAATCCACTCCAAAACGGCCGCTAAATACGGTTTCGGGGTTTCCCTGATCGAAAGATTGATCGATAGCTGCGAGTTATACCAACCTGAGAACGAAATATCGGACGATATAAACTACAGCCTCAACGAGAAGTATATCACGCTGCTGGAGATGAACTACAGGTCGCACCAGGCGATTTTGAAGGCCCCCAACGAGTTTTTCTACAACGATAAACTCATAGCTGCGGAGGAAAATTTCTCGATGCTGTTCAACAACTGGGAGGGCCTCCCGACTAAAGGTTTCCCCATCATTTTTCACAATGTGGTTGGGGAAGACGCCAGGGACAAAAATTCACCGAGTTTTTACAACGCCAAGGAGGTGCAACAAGTTGTAGCGTATATTAAAATGCTTCTGGACACTAAACTACAAGGGAAGCAAATTTCGCAGGACGATATAGGTGTTATAACCCCATATAGAAAACAAATAGAGAAACTGCATGCGGAAACCTCTAAAAATAACTGGAATAAAATCCTTGTGGGTACTGTGGAACAGTTCCAAGGCAAAGAACGGACCATAATAATAATATCAGCAGTCCGATCCAAGAAGGAATTGGTGAAATTCGATAAAACTTTCGACCTGGGTTTTCTGGTCAACCCGAAACGTTTCAATGTTGCCATAACGAGGGCCAAAAGTTTGGTTATTTTGGTTGGTAACGCTGGTATTCTGCAACACGACAAATATTGGAGACGCTATATCGAATACTGCATCGAAAATAAATCAGTAAAAGGTGCAAAATTTATTCTCAACGAATCCATGGAAGACTTAGAAAATATTGATGATGTCACAACCGAAATTGTTGATTTTTCCAGGGGAAATATGTAACTCCAATGGTTTTATATTTTTATAATGTGTTAATAAATATTGTTCTTCTATATCTTCAGATTGTTTTTATTTTACCTTAACATCCAAATGAGGTAAATTTAAACTAAAACGTTGGCTGGAAACAGGTAAGCTAATTTTTTTGGAAATTCTCCGCCATTTTGTTTTTGGAATATTTCATATAAAATTTATAATTAGCGACTTTAAAAACCACATGTTGCCAAATGTGAGCGATATTAGAACGTTTTTTTGAAAAATTGTCCGTCATATATATCAATATTGTTTTTGGAAAAATTTGATATCAAATTTTTAATCAGAAAACTTAAAAACCACCTGTTGTCAAATTTAAGCGATATAAGAACATTTTCTGGGAAATTGTCCGCCATATTGAATCCTCCATTTTGTTTTTGGAATAATTAATATAAACTTTGTAATTAGCGACCTTAAAAACCACATGTTGCCTAATTTGAGCGATATTAGAACGTTTTTTTTGAAAAATTGTTCACTATTTTGTTTTAGCGAATTTAAAAATGATCTGTTGCCAAATTAAAGCGATATAAGAAAATTTTTTGGAAAATTGTCCGCCATCTTGAATCCTTTATTTTGTTTTTGGAAAATGGATATTAAATATGGAAATTATACGAATTTTTGAAAATAATTGTTTACTGTGCCACAATTTTATACCTTCAATTTAATTTGGTCGAATTTTACTTTAGATAGTTGGTATCACAGTCATTGGATTGACAGTTAATGTCAAAATCGATTCGCCATGCCGTCCTTAATTTACTTGTTTACAATAAGCGGCTGTTAATGTTAAAGAAGAAAAAAATTTATTGCCAGAAAAGTCTCGTAAGTACTAGAAAAATCATAAAAATATTATAACCAATATGCAAAATATTATGGTGTTTAAAGTATAGCCAACCTATAAAATCAAAATTTTTGGTGAGATAAAGTTTCCCATTACAGTACCGAAAGCGGTGTTATAATGAAGTCATTATGAACGCAAAATAGATAAAAGGTTGTTTTATAGATGATTAAAATAAAAGTTCTTAAATGTTTTACAAATATTTTATTACATTTTATAAGATTAATTAAATTAATTGAAATAAAATACGTACTTACAAAAATTTGTACTAAAATTAATAAAAAATAAATATATGAATATATGTACAGTATGTCTCCAGATTAAGTTTAAAAGAAAAATTTGAAAATTTTTGCTTCTTGAAAGAAAAGTCATTCTTAAAAGTTTTATCGTCGAAAAAATATCCACAGGGTGTTTAAAATATATTCAAGACATTTTAAACACCCTGTAGTTAAAATCACAATTTTTTTACAATTAATCAGAAATTACTTTTCTTTGAAAAATCAAAACCCAACACTGAAAAAAAATGTCAATGTTATTTTTCGACGACCAAAACTTTTTATTAAAAAAAAACCAAAAACAAAAAAGTTTCTCTTTAGAAAACTCAATCTGGGGACATAATGTGTAATAAAACCAATTGGTGTTAAATAAAATAACAAAACGTTTTGTATTTATAAAGTACTTTTAGTTAAAATAAAATAATAAGCCTTTTTTAGTACAATTATAATTAATTAATTATAAATTTACCAGACACAAAAATCTAAACATTCATTTAATATTTTATGCATCGTTTTAAAAATTGAATTAATAATAAAACATTCCTTTTTACTCTATGAAAAAAATTGGCACGGTTTATGGACGATTTAAAATATACTAAACAGGTTGACACCCTGTAGATTATAGGACGAGTATTCGATTTAAAAACTGCGAAATAAAAAATACTTTTTTTGTAAAAATGCCCGCAAAGGTTTAATTAAGGCTCTCCCGGTGTAAAATCTAACAATAAGGCTACATTCAAATCACATCGTTTTTTAAACTTCTGTGTCGATTTTCTGCTGTTTTTTGTCCCTCGCGACGTACGCGGCGTGCACGCTTTCGCACACAAACCTATATTGACTCTGAAAAACAAAAAAATCGCTTTAAGTTGCGAGACCACCTTCCCGACTAGGCACCTTGGTTCCTGATAGCACAGTTTATTCTAAGAATGTTTTTTAAACCCTCCAGCGGGAATATTCTTAGGATCATGCTATATTTCTTCTAGTCATGTTCTAAGAATGTTTTTTAATCCTTCCAGTGAGAATATTCTTAGGAACATGCTATATTTCTTCTAAAGAACATGCTTAAAAGAAATATAGCATAATCCTAAGAATATTCTCACTGGCCTATAGGCAGGTTCTTAGAAGGTGCAAAGTTTAGTGGTAAAAATTAATCCACTCTAAACATATGCTTAGAATGTTGAGAAAGTAATTGCTATAGAAAGTTCATTTAGGAATATTCCTGGAACATTCTGTTAAGCATATTCAGTTCAGTTAGGTACCTATATAATAGTAAAATATACCATAATCTACGTATAAAGGTACCTATACTTAGTATTAAATACTAAGTAAAAAACACAACCCAAAATATTTTTTTATACTTATTTGTCAAATTAAAACAATATTCGATAACAAAAATACTTTTACTATAGGTATCTAAATTATCCAGCTTTTACATAAAATCTTCTATCCAACTTAAATACAATAAAAATGTTTTTTTTATAAAGAACTATAGTAAATTTAAAAGTAAACTACGTACACGTCATCAATAAAACAAAAATTTTACGCATTGGTACCAACACTAAATGACTAAATCGAAGTCTGTAATTGAATATTTGAATGCATTTTAACCAAATTAAGTTGGCAACAATTGTGATGTTGTCATGTTTACATTCAAATTTTTCATATTTAAATGACACATATAAAAGAATTTGACGTTTTAGAATTTCGAAGCTGTCAGTTATGTTTTTGAATATTTCGTTTAATTCGTGTATTATTTCGTTTATTTTGTTTGTTGTTTGTGTTATTTTATATCGTTTAAGTTTTCATTGCCGTTTTTGTGTTTGTTATATATCGTTTTTTTGTGTTTCCTATATTTAAAATGCCGAAGCATTTAAATAGTCGGAGTCAAGAGTTGGTGTCATCCTTAATACGCTATTTTGAGGCAGAACGGGATAATAATGGACCTTTGTTACCTTTAACAGCTGTTAGAGAGGTAAATAGGATTATTATTAATTATATATTAGAATATTTAACAAAATATATGTTGGATACATGAAATAATAATATATATACCAGAGACTGACTTTAGATGGCAAAATTTTTGGGTTTTATATCAGAAAATGTCTTTAAAAATGGCTAAAAACATACTTTTGTCGGTGCATCATATAGGTTATAAAAACTCAGACTTTTGACATTTTGGTATTATTCATGTAAACGCCATCTATCGCCCTGTAGTTGCACTACCACTTTCCCTTGATGCAAGGATTTTAGCATCACATTGACAACCGTGCCCGATCAGCTGATTGATGACGTGTACGTAGTTTACTTTTAAATTTACTATATTTGGTTTTTTCTTTTATGAAGAATTATTTTATAAGGAAATATTTTGTTTTTTATATTTTATTTTATGTTAAAAATAAATATTTATTAATTTCTATACCGATTTTTTGTATCTGAATTAACATTTTTATGTATAATAATCCTAACTATCTTCAACTTCAATCAAATCTGACTTATCCCACAAAATTTTCCAATTTTACTTTTTATGAAATAATGTCATAAAACTTATGGTTCAGAGGTCAAATTGTTTATTTAATATTTTTAAATAAATATACATTAATATGTCGCAAAATTTTTTAAGGGGACGACAAATACATTTCACTGTCATATTATGACAGTGAGGCGTATTTGTCGCCTCCTGAAGAATTTTACGAATGTAGAATCCAACATATTAGAACGTGGGTATCTGACATATTTGGAAATATTCTCAAAAGCTTCCTAGAAGCTCCATAAGAAACCTTCTAAGAACATTCCAAAAACGTATTCTTAAAATGTTCTTAGAATGCTTTTTAGGAAGGTTTTAAGAAGCTTCTAAGAATCTAATTGCATCATTAAAAGTGTATCTATTGAATGTTTTAAAAGTCCCTTAGAACATTCTTAGCAATAAGGGAAGGTTCTAAGAATATTCCATTATTCAGGGTCATATCTTCTTAGAAGATTCTTAGAATCAAATTTTGCTATCAGGGTAGGCCAAGAGGTCGTCCCGTTTTTGTTTTGGGGCACTCACAGCGTTCTGGATCATCATGGCGCGCTGGTCGCGCATGTTTTTCACGATTTCCAAGGGGTAAACGGGCTCGGCGTTTTCCATTAGACAAAGAGCGGTCTCCATTAGGACCAGGACGCCCGTACGGCCGATGCCGGCGCTACAATGGACGATTACCGGCGCATCGTCGGCCCTACATTCCATCATCTGCGAGAAAAATTTATTTTATTTCAGCAGAAGCGTCCCATACACCAGCAGATTTAAGTTGCCCGAAAAAAACAATTTAATAATGTCCAAACTTTGTTTAGACCATTTAAAAAAAGGGGAAACCCCTATTAATAATAATAATAACTATAGTTATCATTAGGGCTAGGATTTTTATGCATTTAAAAATAAACATTTTGGTGTTTTTTTTTTAATTTCTTGTGTTATAGTAACCTTGAAATTAACATTTGACAGTTTGATGACAGCCCTGATAAAATAAGATTTATTTTTTACAAAAAAGGGGTAAAATGGTTGTTCTTAACACTTGGCACAACTTTTAAAAAGATTTTTAATCTGTATAAACAGCTCAAACCCGAAGCACACGAATTGCACAAAACGAGATAGAACAACCTTGTTGTGTGGATTGTCCTTTACTTTATTTTTAGAAAAATCAAAATTGCAAATTAACCATGAACAATATTCATAATGTGTCAGTTTTAAATCAAGCAAAAACTTTTATGAAGAATTAAATTTTCTCAGAAATGTACAATGTTCGATTACAAGTAAAATCAGTAAATGTTGAATTATAATAAAACTACGTTGCCAGATCTAATAATCACTCACCTTTTTCGTGAATATGAGAAACTGGGTGGGTGAATCCGGTACTCCATGATCAGGCCATGCAGTGTACTGCATGTGCTTGATTTTTTTCTCGGACTTGTTCTGTAGGAGAAAAAACAAAGCATAAAATATTTTTATTTTTTTATGCTTAAATAATTTGTACCTTAACGTCTTGTAGGGTGAAATCCCTAAAGACGAAACTGCCAGAAGGGTCGTCCTCCTCAGCTTCCCCTTTTACGATGATATTTTGCATGGTTAGCACCTCTTCCACCCCCGGCCAATACTGGTGACACTTCGGTCTCCCTAAAAAACGCATTTTGCATGTAACAATGGAGTTAAATTTTTTCTGACCTATACTTTTTATGGTTTTATTCAAGGCGTTTTGTAATTTTAAACATTTCTGTGAAATCGGAATTTCAATTGAGTTTACCGTTTTCGAGATATTTACAAAAAAAAAATCTCCTAATTACGTCACTAGGCTATTGACAACGTTGCCAGCTTTTTCTATGGTTGCCAGTGTGTTTAGTTTAAGATTCTTACGATAGATGGCGCCACGTTATAATATTTTAGTTTTAAAACCACTTGATCTATAATTTTAATTGAGAAGAAGAAGAAGAATTGATTTTTTGACGTTTCTTTTTTTCGGGTTATGTTTTTTTAAATTTAGATTATTGAAAATCAATGTTATTGTTATGTTATTTGTAATTGATATTAGATAAGTGATTTATTAATAACGGACTCCAAACCAGAGGAATCTTGTGGAATGGTTGGTTACATTGAACATTGGAGCTCTTAAACAAATAAAGTAAGTACCTATAATTATAATCATATTTTGTCGTAAATGCATTTCATTAGTATAATGCCTAGTTCTTTATATTCTTTTAGATATATCTTGGACTCCAAAATATCAAACAGTAATATGATACCTCGTAATAAGGAAGATAGGTACTTAATGAATTTGGTGACCATCTTTCACTCAACTGACAGTGACAGTATTTGTACATAACCTCTTCGGGTATTTTCTGACATAACCGAATGAAATCATTAACAAGACAACTTGACAACAGGGTAATTTTCAACCAATAGAAATCTTAGAATGTTGGTCACATGGCGAGGTTTGTGACGTCATAAAAATTTATATTTTTTGTAAATATCTCGAAAACGGTAAACTCAATTGAAATTCCGATTTCGCAGAAATGTTTAAAATTACAAAACGCCTTGAATAAAACCATAAAAAGTATGGGTCAGAAAAAATTTAACTACCCCATCGCGCAAATTTGCTGTACACCACAAAAACCTACCTCTTTCGACCAGCGTCGTGAGCATGACGATGAGGTTGCAATTGTTCTCCAAAATCATCTGCCAAAAGTCTTCGGTGGTGGTTTGCAGCGGGCCTTGAGTGGCGATGTAACGGTTCACGATTTCCGTGTGCGGTATCGCCATGTTTACGTAGTTGGCGTTGATGTAGTCCCCGCTGGGGGCGTTTTTTAGCACCACGCGAGTGGTGTCATCTGTTAGCGATACAGGTAAGTTTGTTTTATGAGAGTTTTTGGGGAAAATGGGCGCAAATTCGTAAAACTACGTGCATATTTGAAGAATTTGAGCTCCAACATAAAAAGTAATTAACTGCCATGGCAATAAAGTACATTTTTAACATTCTGCGAAATGTCACAAAAGTGTCATTTTACTAAAGTTAAAAACATTTTTTACTAAAATAAAAACTTAAAAACTATATTTAAAATGCAAAATTCTTAACATGTGCGCTGTAAAATTCGACCTACTATTTTTTTTAAATTTATGGTACTGTGCGAATTTTGTTCGAATATTCTAAAACGTCGCAAGCATGCGCTCACCATTTCCGTTTTATGTTTCGTAACGTCAAGTTTCACTTCAAAATATTTGTCACTTTGGTGAATAAAAACTACATTTAAAATGCGAAATTCTTAACAAATACATGTGCGCCGTAAATTTATACCTATTTTCGCGGTACTGTGCGAATTTTGTTTGAATATTTTGAAACGTCGCATGCATGCGCGCGCCATTTCCGTTTCATCTTTCGTAACGCCCAGAGAAATATTTCTCTGGTAACGCCAAGTTTTGGTTTACCCCGTCCGCAAAGAAGTTTCACTTCAAAATATTTGTCATTTTATTTTTTTTTTCATTTTTGATATAAAAAATTATTTGACCAGTTTTTTTTCAAATACTTTTTTTTGATTTTTTTTATTTTTCATTTATAATATAAAAAATTATTTTTCTGTTTTCTTGTTTTTTTAACATTTGACCACTTTTTTTCCAAATATATTTTAATTTTTCGAGTTTTTTAAACATTTGACCACTTTTTAATCTTTCGTTTTTTTTAACATTTACCACTTTTTTAATTTTTATTATATATTTAATTTTTGATATAAAAAATAATAATAAATGCTTTACTTTTTCTTGGTAAGACCGTTCATAACTTTTTTTAATCCAATTTGATAAAAAAAGGACATTTTTCCGCATCTTGCAAAAAACAGCCTTTAAAACACTACCAGCATTTCAAACGGTAAAATTAAGAAATTTTTAGAAAAGTTGACTTTTCCATTTTTTACGTTATTTATGAATAAATGCTTTACTTTTTCTTGGTAAGGCCGTTCATAACTTTTTTTAAACCAATTTGTAAAAAAAGACATTTTTCCGCACCTTGCAAAAAAACAGTTTTTTTATTTTTCGAGTTTTTTAACATTTGACCACTTTTTAATCTTTCGTTTTTTTAACATTTACTACTTTTTTTAATTTTTTTTTAATCTTTTATTATATTTTTAATTTTTGATATAAAAACCACTTTTTTTTTGTTTTTTTATTTTTGTTTATATATTTTTTCATTTGTAATATAATTTTTTTTTTAATTTTTCGAGTTTTTTTTTAATTGTGTGTAATAAAAAATTGTTATTTTTTCAACCTTTCTTAATGGGCTTTAAATGACGTAAACTTTTTAAAATCCGATAATAAATAACCAAGTTATAGATGTTTTTTAAAAATACAACAATTTAGATACCGTAAACACGGGTGGCTTTAGCTTACTTTCAAACTTAAGCTTAAAATTTTTGTGGTTTTAACAATCATAAACATTAAATTTTGTATACCAAAATTTGAGTCTTGAGTTGCTCTTTCATAATAACTTTGTTATAATATTACATAGGGCTGAGTTTCAAAAATAAAAAATAAAAACTGGGTGTGCAAAGTTACCCCCTGGTTGCGGGTTACTTTGTCTCACAGTGTTTTTTCAGTATAAAATGAATGTAATATATTTTATTTTTATTAGACACGTGTTAGCAGCGTCATATATCTATTGCAAGGGATTACCAATTAAAAAAATAAAAAATCGACCTGTAGTTAACCAAGGATCATCATTCCAATGGATTGCGCATAATATAGAAATTGTAACGCGTGTATTTCTAAGAGTTTTGCACTGATGCGATATATACAATTTTAAAGTGTAATAAATCCCATTTCTTTCTTTCAAACACTGATTTTCCTGTAATATAAACTCAATATAATCGCTCAATTAACAGGTTTAGACCAACAAATTATAAATGTTAATTTTATCGAGCGCGAAAAGATTTTTCATAAATGGGTTAAAGTCACCCGCGGGGTGCAAAGTCACCCTTGTTTACGGTAGCAATTATTCTATATAGTATGTTTAATATTTTACTGTAAAAATAAGGGAAAAAAAATGAAAACAACAAAAACAAGTACTCACAAGGGGAAATATCCCTGTAGCGGTTCTTGTTGACGTTCTTCGGCTTGGCGGACTCGTCGCAGGCCAGGTCCGGGTGCTTCCGGGGCAGCATCTCGTACTGGTTCACCTGGTGGCCGCTCTCGAGCCCGTCCGCCAGCAGATGTATCGACATCTGCAACGCGTCGCTGGGCGACGACGGGCTGACGTCACTTCCGGCCGGCACGTACAGGTAGTAGGGCTCGGGAACCCCCGCCGCGCCCTGCTCCGGGTGCGCGGAGGCGAACTGCTTCACCACCAGAGTGAGGCGCCCTATTTTAAGAATGTTGTTTTTGTAGAATGTTTTGTTAAGATTAAAGCGTCGTTCATTTTGTATGTTATTTATGAATAAATGCTTTATTTTTACTTGGTAAGGCCGTTCATGACTTTTCTTAATCCAATTTTTCCGCACCTTTCAAAACACTACAACATTTCAAACGGTAAAATTAAGAAATTTGCAGAAAAGTTGACTTTTCCATTTTTTACGTTATTTATGAATAAATGCTTTACTTTTTCTTGGTAAGGCCGTTCATAACTTTTTTTAATCCAATTTGTTAAAAGACATTTTTCCGCACCTTGCAAAAAAACAGCCTTTAAAACACTACTAATTTTTCAAACGGTAAAATTAGTAAATTTGCAGTTAACTTTTCCTTTTTATGTTATTTATGAATAAATGTTTAATTTTTCTTGGTAAGGCCGTTCATGACTTTTATTAATCCAATTTGTTAAAAAAAAAGACATTTTTTCGCACCCTACAAAAAACAGCCTTTAAAACACTACCAGCATTTCAAACGGTAAATTTAAGAAATCTGCAGAAAAGTTGACTTTTGAATTTTTTACGTTGTTTATGAATAAATGCTTTACTTTTTCTTGGTAAGGCCGTTCATAACTTTTATTAATCCAATTTGTTCTAAAATACATTTTCTCCGCAACTTGCAGAAAAAAAACGAAAAAAATATTTCTTTTCTAGCCTTTATATACTACTAAAAATGGGAAATTTTTCTGTATTATCTGCAGTGGGGATAATAATAGGAAAAGTCAATTTTTACCACGGATAATACAAAAAAATGAAAATCAATTTTTTTTTTAATTTTATATCTGTAAAATTCTAGGTTAGGTCAAAATGTAAAATGGGCATTCAAAAAAGAGTAATATTAATATTAAATCGTTGTCATAGTATTTCCTGAAATTTTCACTGGTAATACCACTAGAGGTCAAATTATTTCCGGAAATTTTTTCGAGCTCATGAATATTTTGAAAATTATCCCGAGTCGAAGACGAGGGATAATTTTCTAAAAATATTCATGAGGGAGAAAAAATTTCCGGATTTAATTTGACCTCGTGTGGTATTCGGTAAGAAAATTCCACACCAAATTGTGTTTAAATAATTAAAATTTATTTTTTGATTTAACTTGACCTCGACTTGATTATTTAGTTACCATGGCAACTAAGTCAACCCCAACCTAAAAGTTATTTCAGTTTTGAAGATGTCAAGCGGCACGACGTAAAAAAAATGTGAAATTGTCTGCTGTAATGATCAATCATCGTGCAATGACTTATTTACCCGCATTATTAGAGGATTGTGGCTCCTACTTGAAGAAAGAAAATTTGTTTTGAATTGTTCACGAATATTTGCATCTTAACTATTCAAAACTCAAAGTGCTAAATGGAAAAAAAGGTGAATAGAATAGTGCCTAATATTATATATATTTTATTAGACATAGACATTTAATTTATTTCAAGTCCTGCATTTTCGCCATTAAGAAGAAAGGAGGTGTCCAACGAATATAGAAAACATCTAATAAACTTTGTAATGGAAATGTATCAAAATTATCATGTAAACAAATAAAAACCAGATTGTCAAAAAAATATTCTGTCATTATAAACGTCAAAAAATTTCCAGTATAATTCGCTGTTGGGTACCCACGAGGAAAAAATTTCCACTAAAATTCAACCGTTGCCATGGTGATCTATCAAAAATACACGTTTTGATTGGTTAAAAATTACAGGTGTGGAATTTTCATCAAAAAATCTCAAAATATAAAAAAGTTACACAAACCTTCATTCTGTTTTCTGGCTTCTCTGATGTACGAGCAAGCTTCGTCATAGAGGGCGCCAGTGCATTCGTGCTCATTTATTTGCAACAAAACGTCGCCCACGTTCAATTTCGGCGTGCACTTATCCGCCGGAGTATCGGCAACAATGCGCGATATTTTTATCGGCAAGTTTCTGTCAGATCCACCTAAAATTAATAACATTACACCTGTGTTCACATTTTTCGAAACTTTTTCGCACCCGAAATGATAAATCCGTACATCTCGCCGCCGTCCAGCTCTAGAACGATGGTCGTGGCGGCAACGTCGCACTGCTGCGACGTCGGCGAGTGGCTCAGGCTGTAAGGGGGCGTGTCGTACAGCTCGTTGGGAGTGGTGGGGGAAGGCTCCTCGTCCGCGTAGCTTATCACCCGGTTGGCTATGCCGGGCATGAAGGGACCCTCTAGGGTCCGCTCCAAAAACCCACCGTCGCTAAAAGAAAATTAAGAATTGGGCGTTTATTCGTTTTGCCGTGAAACGTTGGGCGCCAATTTGGAACACTCACAAAATTCACCCAATTTCGGTAATTATTGTGGGAAATCAATTTTTGACAAAAAAAATAAAACAAATTTTCAGATTGCCAAGTGAAAATCTTTAAAAACAATGACTAAAGAAAAAAACCTTAAAATCCAATCCTTAGTATGGGCTTAAAAAAATTGATGTTGGGGATAGTAAGTAGATTTATTTTAAAAACAATTAAATGGCAGTACTTTCCTTTTGTATACACAAATCATCTGTGAGAGATATATAAATAAAAAAATAATTTAGGTTAATGTTTTAGTTTGTATATGAGCTTTTATTTGTTCCATTTACTTCAAATATAGATAGTTGCTATAAGAAGGAAAATTGAATATAAAAATCATACTACATTCCCATAAAAGTCTTAAAAAAAGTGGATACAGTTCCAAGTTTACACTTAGCAGCTGATCTATCAAAAGAGAAATCAAGTACTTTGTAAGAAATTGTAATAAAATTGTAAAAAACAATATAAATCATAGTTCTTTTTACAGTGTACAAGAAATAGGACAAAACCAGGAAGACAGCCCATAACAGAAACTCAAACTCTAAGAAATCAAAATTAAATCATTCTTTTTGCATTGTGCAGAAAATGTGCCAAGACAAGGAAGCAAATCTTCAAGGACAGTCAATAACAAAAACAAAATAATGAAATGGCATAGAATTGAAACATACAGGGTGACTCAAAAGTAGGAAATATTGAGTGTAACTTTTGAAATATCGAAAATATTAAAAATTGATTTTAATAAAAGTTGTTTGGTAGTTCATTTCAAATTTTATCCCTATGTATTATTATGTAACATACAAAGCCTCTTTTAAATTGTTATAAAAAAGGGGGTTACTATTAAAAAAAAAGTTGGCCCCGTTGGAGGGCTACGTATTTATTTTTTTAAGTTGGTAATGTCACCACAAAATTTGAAATAAACTTTTATCAAAATCATTTTTTGAAATTTTCGATATTTCAAAAGTTACACTCAACTTTTGAGCCACCCTGTATAATATTTTTCTAAAGTTTAGTTTGTTTTATTCAATGTTGGCTCCATAGTGGCCAATAATTAATTAATTAATTATTAAGAGTTTTTATTTGGCGACTAAACCTAAATTGCAATTATTTGAAATAAATAAATTTAGGAAAAAATATGTTGTTTACATTTTTCTTGCAATGTTAATTTAGTAACTTGACACTTTTCATTTCATTCTTTATATTTGCTTTGAAACATGATATTTTATTTTATTGCAAACATTTCTTCTTAAAAACAAGATATTTTATTTGAAAACCCATTATTTAAAAACTTTTTTAGCCCATTTTTATATAATTTATTTGGTATTTAGTAAATATTATTTATTTTAAAACAATATATTTTATTTGATTGAAAACCATATAAAATAGTTGTTTTCATTAATAATATTTTCTTGATATGTTAATATTGTGACAGATCGTTTTTTTCGTGTGATTTTAAAATTATTCGACAAATTAATCTAAAAATCGAATAATTTTGTAAAAAATTGCATGAATATTTAAATTTAAATAAAACAAAACTTACTCATCTGACATATGCGAATCCTCGGTCCATGCTTTTTTCGGCTCCTTTGTGCCCAAAGAAGTGACCTTGTTGTCGTACGGCCTCGGAGGCCTTGGGGGAACCACCGAAACTTTCCCTTTAACCTCCAAAGCTGGAGCCGGCACAGTTTGTCTCACCTTAGAAATAAAAAACGTCAAATTTGGGCCACCAAGACTGCAAAACAAAACTTACGATTTTGCTGGGCGATCTCACGAACTTTCGCTCCAACTTCCCGCGCTGTTTCACCTCGGAAACCGTTTGAAACTCGGTTCTGCCCGAGTAGGTGAACTTTGACCCCAGAGACAGAGGAAATTTTCTTTTAACACGCGGGGAATGCAAACGGAAAAAGGTGTGGTGCTCTACGCACGATTTCCATAGGACTTTCGAAGTCCTATAGGAATTCATGTTGAATCCCAATAGAGTGTCGTAGCTCTCGGACTGGAAAATAACACCATAGAAGACATCCCAAAAGTATTTTACGACTACTTAAGAATAGTAACATTCTAGTGTAATTTTTGATCATAGAAAGGATGTTTTTCTGCAATACTGTGCGAGAATATTCCCACTCTTGTTTAAGAATGGTCACAAATAACGACATCTCCTGGCTGTTTACTAAACGTAAAAAATTTAAAAATATTTAAATATTACTGTATTATTTATTAATTAAAAAATAATAGCAGTTGAATAATTAAGGTTTAGGCACAAAAAATTAGTTATATTTATGGTTTTTCAAATATACAAATCAAAATTATAATAAATTTGATATTAAAATGATAAACCAGTTACCTACTATACCGGCTTTGAAGTTTTGACAGATTCAAAAAGTTTAAAAACAGACCTTTAAAATGTAGAAAAAGAATAGATTATGACATAGATTACTTGTAAAATTAGTTTTGTATTTGTTACAATGTTATTTTTTTTATTAGTTAGTGTAAATAACTATTTTTAATTATAATAAAGATTTAAGCATAGCATTTGTTTAAATTTATCATAATTTACATTATAAAATTGTGACAGCACAAAATGGTTTGACAATACAAAAAACTTAAATGTCAAAAACTGCTTGGTTTCTTTTCTCTGTTTAACATTTTATAAGCGTTACTATTCTTACGTAGTCGTAGAGAAAATAATGTCTGAAACACGTTTGGAATAGCATATTCCACTCTCGTAAAACCGTCACACTCGCCTTCGGCTCGTGTGTCAAATTTTTCCTCGAGCGGAATATGCTGTATTACAAACTTGTTACAGAATGTACTATTTTGTACTTACAGGTTCCTTTATGAGCCTGATAAAAAATTGCTTTCGTTTAAACGATATTTGCATTATTTTGGACCACGAAAACAGATTTATTCGGACGCTGTTCAAAAAGACAACCAGTCCCAAATGCGTAACCCCCAACTGTATATCTCTATTTGAACTATCCTGCAAATTTAAGAAAAAATTACCAATGAAAAAAATATTTTCACACAAACACAAACCTTGGCTTTGTGTAGCTCAACCCCATACATATCCAGTCTTTTCACGTAATTCAAAAAACCTATTTCCGCCTCTGCCGGTGATAAACCCCTAAAAATATTTACTCGTAAATTTGACAACACTGCGTGACGTCACGCAGTATAATAATCTCCCAATCATAAATACATACTGCAATGAATCACCTAATTGTAAATAATGATTATCGGAAAAAGTGTACGCACTTTAAATACCAGAAATTAATTTGAATATTTATCACAATTTCTCTGTATTAAAGCATATATTACTTATGAATGAAATTAAGTTAAATATTTAAATTTAATTATTTTTTATTAGTAAAACAACATTATTTAAAGAAATTTAAAACCTCATAATTATACAGGGTGTCCCAAAAAATAAAAAAGAATTAAAGTTAAAAGAAGAAACAATCTGATATCTACCCTAGTAAAAGTAAAAGTTAGTTACAGTACTGTAACAGTGCAGTACAGGGTGTTTAAGTTTTAATATTTTTTAGGATTTTTTTTAAATATTTTCTGAAATTTAAAATATAAATTATCCAAATTTTTGTATAAAGGGTATCCCAGATTTTAGTAGGAAAATGTAAAAAGTTAGTTACAGTAGTAGTACAGGGTGTTTAAGTTTTAATATTTTTTAGGATTTTCTTTAATATTTTCTAAAATTATCCAAATTTAGTAGGCATTTTTGTATATAGGGTGTCCCAGATTTCAGTAGGAAAATGTAAAAAGTTAGTTACAGTAGTAGTACAGGGTGTTTAAGTTTTAATATTTTTTAGGATTTTCTTAATATTTTCTGAAATTATCCAAATTTAGTAAGCATTTTTGTATACAGGGTGCCCCAGATTTTAGTAATTTAAATTTTTTTTAAATAAATTTAAAAAGTTAGTTAAAGTAGTAGTACAGGGTGTTTAAGTTTTAATATTTTTTAGGATTTTCTTTAATATTTTCTGAAATTATCCAAATTTAGTAAGCATTTTTGTATACAGGGTGTCCCAGATTTCAGTAGAAAAAATTTAAAAAGTTAGTTACAGTACAGTGCAGTACAGGGTGTTTAGGTTTTAATAATTTTTATGATTTTCTTTAATATTTTCTGAAATTATCCAAATTTAGTAAGCATTTTTGTATACAGGGTGTCCCAGATTTTAGTAGGAAAATGTAAAAAGTTAGTTGAAGTACAGGGTGTTTTAATATTTTTTAGCTTTTTATTTAATATTTTCTAAAATTTAAAAGAAAAATTATCCAAATTTAGTAAGAATTTTTGTATACAGGGTATCCCAGATTTTAGTAGGAAAATGTAAAAAGTTACAGTACAGGGTGTTTAAGTTTTAATAATTTTTTGGATTTTCTTCAGTTTTGTATACCTACAGGGTGTCCCAAATTTTAATAGCATAATTTTTATTTTTTTTATTGCATATAGCAATATTAAAACATAATTGTTCAAAATAGAACATACTTAATAGCTAAATGTAAAATAAAAAAAAATCAAAAAATGTACTCACTTTAAAGACTGATGTAATTCACATATTTTAAGCTCGATATCTTTGTTCTGATTTGGCAATAGGACCAAATTAGACAAATAATCTGGACCATGTTCTTCAGGCTGATAATCGCCCAGTTCGGCTAAAAAAAACGTTTTATTCATAAATTTTGGCAGTTAAAAACCAAAATACCCTGCACTGTGTAACTGGACAGCAATATGGCACTACTGGCGGGCAAAATGAGCCTCTCCTCTAAAATATCCTGTTTCAACTGTAAACAGAACTGATATCTCGTGTATTCCTCCAATAATTTGCTTGGATCCGAAACATAGAACTTAACCCTAAAGAATAACTTAGTCTGGCTGCCATTAAGCTGCTTTTTGATTGGTTTCAGAGGGTCCAACCATCTCTACAACGATTAATAGAGCGTTGAGCGTTAAAGTGAGGTTATATCGGAAAACTTACGATAAATTCGGGTTTGTTGCTGTCGTCCTCGTAAAACTGCAGCCCGAAGTAGTCTTTCTCGACCAGCTCGAGGTGCTGATGCACTTGGTCCAACAGTACGCTCCCCTTGGACTTTTTCTCTAGATGAAATGCATGCTGAGTGTCGTCCAAGAAGTGCACTGTAACCGACAGTCCTTTGAGCTTTCTTTCCTTCGCGGCGGCCAGCTCTAACGCGTGCACATTATAAGTCCCGCTGGAACCACTGAATGCCCTTCTCGACACACTTTCTATCATAGTTGTGATTATTTCCTTCGACGTGCATTACGTTGACGTTTTAAGTGGTTTTGCGTGACAAACGGTGGTCTTTGTGGTGCTGCTAACCCAACGAGATAACTCCGAGTGAAGCATTATCTATGTTGGACCATTAATTGATAAAATTTCAACTATTCCAATACATGTTTGTTTTGTTGTACTATCGGTATTTTTCCTTTGTATAACTTGGCTTGAGTGCACATAAAATTCCGATTTGCTGTTTTATTGATGGTTTTCGTCGGAATTGTCGATTTAAATTAATATAAACGTAAATAAACTCATTGGACTGACTAAAAAAAATATGCCTAGTGCTGTGTTGCCAAATCTGGACGAGATCTTGTGTAATCGTGTAGATACGATAGACTTGCTTTGAAAGGGTTGAGTAAAAACACTTTAACAATATTAACTTTAAAATATACAATTTATGTTATATTTATAATAATACATTTACTTATATTTTTGATTTTATTGTCCTTATTATATTTACTGTGTAAGCATGGCAACGCTAGAGGAAGCACACCTAAAAAAGGCGGTTCATTTGAAAAATTATGTTCTGTGAACATAATTAAATCGTGATTTAGTTTAATTTATTGTCTCCCAGTGGTATACTAAATAAAATATTCTTTAAAATGCTTCAACTGCGTAAACTGTAATTTTCGTAAAGTCTGGTTTATGGATTGCCTTCCCTTCTTCCTTCCTTTCTCCCGTAAAAGATGAACAATACGAAAATCGTAGTGCCATTTACTAATTCCCGTACGGGAATCTTTAAACAGCACAACGGCTTTTGTATTGTTCATCTTCTACGGGAGGAAGACAATCTATAAATCAGGCTTTAACGTCCATGCGCTTTACAAAGCCTTCCACCCACAGACACATGAATTTTCCTATCTTGGAACATCCACTAATTCTTTTGTACAAATCACAAAATACCTCGCTAAAGAGTCAAAGCTTGCGATATTGTCCAAAAATACAGGTAAGTTTCTATACCCGGAATCCAATTTTGTCCCAACTAGGTCGAAAATTTTCGAAAATTACTTAAGTAATCTATATTTCATACTTTTCATTGAGCGATCCGCACAAAACCGAACTCCACAATCGTTGATCATGATAACGGTTACTTTATTTCCTTTTAAAAAGTATTGAAATACCTATGATACCTATACAATAATTAAATCGAATAAAACAAAAAATAAAAAAAATATTTATTAACAAATTAATAAAAAAATAACCGTAATTACTTATTAATTAATTAATAAACATAAATTAAATTTTTATTTCAAAAGCATGGCATTTTTTCTTAACTTTTTTAAATTGTTGTCAAAGGGTTTGTTGTTCTCAGCAAGGCATTCTCGTGATTCCCTAAAACAATGTTATTTATTATTTACACAGCATCATTAAAATCGTGACGAAATAATGTATTTCACTTTGCATGTATAACTCTTTAAAATAACAATTTGTCTAAATTCAAATTTAGAAAAAAATTATTTAAAAAACATGTCCAGGCAATATTCATAAACATAGATTTCTTATTATTTGTCATACTTAATAGGTATGTTTATTATATTAACATATTATGTTTAAAGGCTTGACCTTTAATCTTTGAGAGAGCTCTAGATTATTTAAAGTCGCAGATCTTAAACTAAAATTATAATTAATTATAACTACTACATATATGTAGTAGTTAACTCAAGAATAGTGTATTCTGTAACAAGTTTGGAATACAGCATATTCCGCTCGAGTGAAGGCGAGTTTGACGGTTTCACGAGAGCGGAATATGCAATTCCAAACGTGTTTCAGACTTAGACTATACTTTTTCTACGTTTCCAAAAAATACCATAGAAAAATAATTTAATTGGAAAAAAGTGAGGTTGGATCGGTTTAAAATTTGTTAGATATTATAATATAAAAACAGCTCTAGAGATGTCGCCACGAGTGTTTATTCTGTCATCAGATGATAGAATATATGTCATTCCATAGATAAAAGTGATATTAGAAGGGTCAAATTCCGTAATAGGAGTAGAAAAAATCCTTTAAGGTTAACACAGGCTGTGTGGAAGGACCCCTTCTACAACAGAGAGGCAAAAAGAGGCCAAGAAAAAGTCCAACTCAAACTCTGATGAGCAGTGAAGGTGCAGTGTTCTTTGGTGTAGAGGTTTTAAAAGGTATTGATAAAACCTAAGAGATTTTAAAATTAAACAAAAAAGTTTTAGCATATATTTTTTTGAATTTTATTAATTACATATGGGTAAAAATCAAAAAATGTTTGTGTAGGCGTCTTTGGCTAATTAAAAATTAGAAAAAGAAGTGAAGTGTCTCAAAACTTATTAGTATTATTTCTGCATGTTAATTATATGAGATTTATATTAAATATTTACCCAGATTTAAAAACATCGATTAAAAAGAAAAACAAAGAGCTATTTTGTCTTGTCGGTAACGCGTCCCTTATTACGTTTTACAATTTTACGCTAGATTTTTCAATCAAATCATTTTTAAAAACAGGACAAATGTAAATCACTTTAAAGAAACTAACACCAAGTATTAAATAAATTACATTTTATTTAAAAACAATTTGGTTTTAAAGATCCAGCCTTTGGGTAACAGACTGTCTGCTTTGATCGCATCCTGTCGGTAACGATAACTGTAATTTCGCCTAAAATCCGCCAGGATACGTAATACCTGTCATTTGTTGGTTAGTGTGCTAGAGTTAGTGTTTATGTGTCATTCAAACCAGGTAAGTTTTTCTGTTTATGCCTTAAAAAAATATATTTAGGCTTGTTTGCATAAAAACGCTACCGTATTTTTTTACGATGTCTAATCGGTAACTGTTCTAGCGGTAAAATTTTGATGTCGATATGAGATTTGTTACATTTTTCTGATGTATAACACCAATATTTGCAATTTTGATTTTAATGGTATTTACTATAAGTATTTTTTTAACATATATTTTGATTATTATTCCATTTACAGAACCTTTATTCCCGACAAACTATACTGTTACCGACTAGACATAATTGAGATCAGAAGACAACAATTATCAACATAACAAAAAAAGTACCTTTCCTTGATCTCAAAGATTAGCTTTATTATGTTGCGAAATCTTTATTTTAGAATATTAAAAAGTTTAATGGACAAAAACTCAAAAAGCAACATTTTAGTTTTTTAATTGTTGTAGGTCGTTTTCCAAAGATTTTTTGATTTTCACCCATATACTTTTGTTTGACTAATTTTTTGTCTTTACTTTTGTGTAATAATTTTACATAGGTATTTGATATTTTATATTTGTTGTATTTTTTTAATAAAATATATTTTTTCCAAGTTATTTTTTATTCTGCGCTGTATCTTCGTTACTGTTCGTTTGATTTGTACAAAATTTTCAGGGTATACTAACGAAAATACGGTCTTTAACAGCATATTTTTTATTTACTTAAAAAAATCCCTTAAAGTTATTTTTTTAACGTTTTTTTAATTATTAAATAAAAGAGCTTTAAAAATATTTTCTCGAAAAATTTTATTAACAAATTTGGGAAATTGTATTTTTCTATTACTATTATAATAATTATTAAAAAGCAAATTATTAAAAAAACAATTATTTTCCCTACCCTTACGCTAAGGTAAGAAATTGAAATTATAATTTCAATTTCTTACCTTAGCGTAAGGGTAGGGAAAATAATTGTTTTTTTAATAATTTGCTTTTTAATAATTATTATAATAGTAATAGAAAAATACAATTTCCCAAATTTGTTAATAAAATTATATAACTATATATATATAATTATATAATTATTATAACTTTAAACAAAAAAAAAAAAACAGAATGTTTGCGTTTAAGGAATTTTAACCTGTCAATATTTAACATTCGTGTGCTGTTTTCATGTGCCCTGTCAACCCGAGTTTCGATAGGAATTGTTTGTCGCAATGCTGACAATTGATTTTTTTTCTTTTTAGGGGATCGCCATGTTGGTTTTGAACGTGGTGGTCTAAATAATCCCTGCTTGCCAAAGCTTTCCAGCAATGCGGACAAATGTATTTTTTTCTTTTTACGGAATGTTGAACTCGAATGTGCTGATTTAAACTACTCACTGTTGCGAACTCTTTCAAGCAATGAGGACACTTGCATTTAAAACCGCCGTGCTTTATTTTGATATGCTGGTTTAAGTAGCTTCTTACAAGGAAACTTTTTTCGCACTGCGGACATTTGATTTTTTTTCTCAGCAAGGCATTCTCGTGCTGGACTTGGAGGTGGAGTTTTAACGGCTCGTTTATTTTGAAAGTTTTCGGGCAATGCGGGCATTTGTAACGGTAGCCGTCGTGTTTTTGTTCGAAGTGCGCGCCTCTACTTTGCCTGGTGGAGAATAGTTCGTCGCAAAGTGGACATTTGTGTTTTTCTTTTTGCACGCCATGTAAGATTTGAAGGTGCTTATCCAAGGATGCCTTGTTGACGTACGTTTGTGGGCAATGTGGGCAGCGGAATTTGTAGCCTTGGTGTATCGTTTGAACGTGACTTTTTAAATTTTGTACGATCGAAAAAGTTTTGTCGCATTGCGAACAGATGTACTTTTTCCTTTGCATGGGTTCGCCGTGTTGGCTTTCAACGTGCTGTTTACATGTATTTGCATTTTTATAGGTTTTCGGGCAAAGTGCGCACGCGTATTTATATCCTTCATGTTTAACGTTAACGTGTCGCGTTAAATAGTCTTTTTCTGTGAACTTTTTGTCGCACTGTGCGCACTTGTGCTCTTTCGGATCGCCATGTTTGTTTTCGAGGTGATGATTTAACTTGGATTTTTCCGCGAACGTTTTCGGGCAATGCGGGCAAGTGACCCTGAAGCCCTCGTGTTTTAACCGGATGTGCGCGAGTTTAGCCGTTCCATTTAGGAGTATTTTGTCGCAATACGGACACGCGTACTTTTTTCTTTGCGTGGAGTCGCCGTGGTGGCCTTTGACGTGGTCGTTTAAAGTTTTCCCGTCAGAGTACGCTTTTGGGCAGTGCGGGCACTTGAACTTTTTTCTTAGCAGGGGATCGCCATGTCCCCTTTCAACGTGGCGTTTTAAATAATAACTTGTCTTTAAAGCTTTCGGGCAATGCGGACATTGGTGTTTAATTCTTTGCAGCGGATCGCTGTGTTGGCTTCGAACGTGGCTTTTTAAAAAATCATTTCTTGTAAAAGCTTTCGGGCATTGCGCACACTTGTACCGTTGTATTTGTAGGGGATCGCCGTGTTCGACTTTTACGTGATATTTTACGTTTTGCTTGGTTATATATGTTTTCGAGCTATGTGAACAACTGTTTGTAACCGACATGTGTTGTGATTTTATGTGCTTTGTTATACATCCCATACTCGATAGCAGTTTGTCGCAATGCAGACACTTGGATTTTTTTCTTTGCGAGGGATCGCCATGATGGTTTTGAACGTGACATTTTAAAGAGTATCTTCTTATGTAAGCTCTTGGGCAATGCGGACATTTGTATGTAATTCTTTGTAAGGGATCGCCATGATGGTTTTGAACGTGACGTTTTAAAGTAGCTCTTCTTGTGTAAGCTCTTGGGCAAAGCAGACAACGGTGATTGTTGTCTTTTATCGACTTCCTAAAACAAAAAACCAGCTCTAAAGATCACAGAGGTGACATTTTCGACGAACATATTATCGTTAAAATCGTGACGAAATTATGCATTTTACTGTGCATGTATACTGCCCTGTTAAGGATAGAGGTCGTATCTACAATATTTTGTAGTAAAGGACAGAAGAAAATTTTAATTTTTAAAAACAATAAAGAATAAAGTTTTTTCTTTACTATCACAGCAAACGGAAAATTATAGAAGTGTATAGGATGACTCCGCGTTTGAATATCAAATCTTAAAGTTGTATCATAACTGTATTGAATCGTGCTTTGTTTTTATATTTTTCGGCTCTATACCTATGCACGACTATATTTAAAGTCAAACTCAATGGTGTCTTACAAGATACATTATTTTGATTTTCTATATTCAACAGAGAGGTAGAAACTCGACCCTGTCGAATTATACAAAAACAGCGCAACGGTTTCGACTTCTCTTTACTCTACCAAGTTATAGAAACTGGAGTCTCTCTAATACTGTTCTAGTCAATATTTCTGAGAGTATAAAAAGAGGGTGTAATATTGCAAGAAGTTTTGATCTTTTGATGGATGCAAGTAGTTTGAATTTTCTCATTTCTGCATATGATTTTGTTGAAAATAGTTCCTTTGTCTTATTTTTATTTACCGTAACAACTCAGGTATGTAAAGCACAGAGGATATGATGTTAAGTATATTTATGTATTATATAAAGTACCTATATTTGTATTAAAAATTTCAGAGGTTATGTTGAAAAAATGATCAATATGCATATATGCTATTAAACTTTAATAATTTAGTAATGAGGTCTGTCGGTAGACCCTGCACTATCTCCACTGGTATATGTTAGTAAAGCAATATTTAAATCTGGTTGATGAAAAAGTACACACCAGTGCAGGTTATTGTAGCATCTACGAACAAATGAATTAATGGCCCATTGGCAATTATTCCTTTAAGAAAAATATTCAACACAGCTTAATTAATTAATAAAAAAATAAAAAAATCACAATCATGTCGTATATAGTTTTATTTAAGCATAAAATAATTTTTATATTAATACTAGTTCAAAAGTGAAATTACGACCTCTATACTGTGGAGAGTATTGAAACGCTCGACTGACGAATACAACTCTATACCGTGGGGAGATTTAGAAAACGATATTCAAACGTGGCGTCATCCTATACACTTCTATAATTTTCCGTTTGCTGTGAAAGGCTCCCCTTTAAATCAATCAATCAATCAACGTATGTTAATACCAGGGAAATGATATTTTACACAATTTTATATGTTCTGAGCTCAATATTTTAATTTTATGACCTCGAATTTTGTTGCCAGAAAAACTTTCTCAGAGATATTTTATCATAAAAATGTGTTTGTATTTCCCAGAGGAATGATGAGACATGTCTAATAATAATAATAATACACCATGTTTTATCAATTAAGTACATAAACGTATTGGGAATGATATTTGGTAAAATTTACCATTAAATAATATTTTTGCGTTTTCTCTCAAGGGAATACTTTTTGGGCGTTTGATGTGACCGAAATTTTTACTGAAATGTATCTAAAAGGATATGGACACTCACCCTGATTTAATTCGTCGATTATATTTTTTTCCCGTATCTTCTTCATCTTCAGGAGTGTACGATGAATCTTCATCGGCAGAAAAGTCACGTTCTTCATCGCTATCATCATCAACTCTAAATTGAGAGTATGTAGGTATAATTAAATATCTAGCTTCAGTTACAAAAAAGTGTAATATAGGTTGCTTGAAATATGGTGTTTTTTATTTTATGATGTTGTGTAAAAAACTTTTTGGAAAACAAAATCAATTGTGAATTGTATTAGTTACAAATCCACACCACATTTTGTATAGTTTTTTCTTTAAAATTTAAGTTTAAATTATTTTTAAATCTTATCTTTGTAGAAAATATGGCAGTTAATTTTTGCAAACATAATTAATTTAAAAAGTATAAAAAATTATGATTTTTGTTTGGTCTGACAATACCTAATTTTAAATATAATAAAAGCAGGATAAAAATTACTTACATTGTGACAAATTTTTTTTTACTTCTTGTGGATCTTTTAAACTCATTGTTTTTTTCCTTATTTTTAGAAGTGGATGAATCCTCATCATCATCATCATCGACATCTGTAGCAGTTGCTTCATTTTCTTTATAACTTTCATCAACTGCAGTCCTAAAATTAAAATAATACAGGGTGTCCCAAAAATGGTGGTTTGTGTTGCAGGGTTTTTACTAAAAACTGTTTATTTTATTATTTTAATGTTTCAAAACCATAGGTACCTTTTATAAATATTTTTTAATAATAAATTTAATAAATTTAAAATACTCACTCAACACGACAATCATTCCCAAGTTCTTCATAATTTCCAGTATTTTTTGGTTCAATAGGACTTTGTACTTTATTAATGGTATTCAGAGGGTCTAAAAGTGATTGGTTGCCCTTTTCTACACCCTCAGAGTTAATGTGGTAAATACTGTCTTTGGTGATAAAGCCATCAAATAAATGGACCTCCTCCTCTTCCATCATATTATTTACTGTAGTAAAATTAAATTATTAAAGTTTTGTTTTACATATTGTGCAATTAAAGCAATACAGGGACAGATTTTCAGTTTTATCCAAATAATTTGAGAAACAGTTTTTTTTACAATTTTAAGACTTGTAATTATGGAACTTTTCTCTAATTTAACTGAATTATTAAATAAAATAAAAGAGTTAAATTTATATTACAGTAAACTGAATATGGATGTATGTATATGTAATTATTACCTGGCAATCGTAGGTCTGGAAATGCATTTGCCCTAATATTGGTTCTATTTCGATTTGTGGCAAATTTCATTTTATCTGAAAAATGAAGATCACACCTTTGATGTAATCCTCCTGGATAGGTTGCTTCAACCCACATGTTGAATAGCTGTAACCACATAATATGTGGCACATATTAATATAAATAGGTATGTGGCTGTAACGCAGGAAAAATTATACGCAGAGTGCCTGCGGGATGAAATTCGTCATACATTGACGTGCCGCCAGGGTTGCCAACTCTTGAGATGCACATATAGTATTTTCCCAATTTAATAGAAGTTAGAATTTTAATAAAGACAGCTTTTTTATTATATTATATAATATATATTATCTATTTTCAAAAAACGTTTGTTGTGACAATAACTCCAATTTCAAAGATACATACCTTTATTATACAGGCTATATATAAAAGTTGTTAAACTACTCAAAATAGCGTATAATATAAATATTTTCTTATTTAAAGTAGCTCTTCTTGTGTAAGCTCTTGGGCAAAGCAGACAACGGTGATTGTTGTCTTTTATCGACTTCCTAAAACAAAAAACCACCTCTAAAGATCACGGAGCTGACATTTTCCACGAACATATTATCGTTAAAATTATGCATTTCACTGCGCATGTATAACTCAATCAAATGACAAATTTGATAAAAAATTAGAAAAAACTTGTTTAAGACTGATAGAGGCACTACAGGTTTTGTTTTAAGCATTTATAACCTTAGCCGCAAGGTTTGGCTAATAAATCCATTTTCACCCTTCCTAACAAAAAAAACACGAGTCCAGATTAAAAAAATTAACTGTAAATAAAAGTATCTCAATTTTAAAAAACATTTTTTAATAAAATCATATAATAAAAACTACAAGATTATAAAACATAATTTACTGAATCAAACATAAACAGGGAATGTAGGTTCCTTCCTAAATGGCAAAAATAACAACACATTTTTTTAAATCACATTTAGTTCTAGGCTGGTGCCTCAAAATGTAAAACTAACCTTAATCTGAATAGTAAAATTTGAAATAAACATTATTTGTAAACAAAAACAAAGAAACTAGGTATTAACCCTGGTATTTTTTTCTTAACAAATTTAAATATACTGAACTTAAGAAATGAATATTAAAAAAGTTAATGACATGGTCACTTGCACAGATCAGTTTTGTTTGTTTTTAATCATTTCTAAATCTAATTCTTCCAAAAACTCCATTATCTCTTCCTCATCATCTGAATCATTATTGAAAAGACTGTGTGATTCATCATCATCAGTTTTCTTGGCAGATATTAAATTATTCAAATATTTCGCGAAATCGCCCAAATAACCATCTTCAGAATGAGCGGTGGTGAAGTTATTCAAGGCCTCAACCTTCAGGGCTTCCATAAAATCACAACATGTTGGATCATCCTCGATTGGCCACGTTGATATTGTCTGAGAGATCTGCGCAAACATATTATCCAAGGCCTCTTGATTGAGGTTCCTCAAAGACAAAACCGTCAGTCCCCTGGCTTGCAAATCGCGCCAGAGGGACTGCACGGCCTTGATGGTCACCTGCCAACCTTCAGAGGAGTTTTTAGTCCAGTTGGACAGTTTGGGCAACACCGACGCCCAAAAAGTTTCATGCGGGGATTCACCGGTTAAAGGGCACCGCAATTTTTTTGAATCGTGTTTTTTTAAGTTGCTGTTGAGAGAGTCGAATAGCTCATCCACCATTGCAACGAATTCTGATGTATGTAAAGCTGTGGCGGGCATATTTCCGTTTTTATGGAAGGTTTGTATGGCTGACGCGACAGAGTGGCTCAATAAATGAGCGGCAGTTTGAAATTCGTCGTCGAATGTGAAGTGGGCTTCTGTTATTTTAGGCAGGGTTTTGTGGACATCCACTTTTTGATCACAGTTAAACGCGTTGCGAATATCTTCAATTTTGGCAAACTTCCCACTTTCATATTCTATATTGCCACTCATTAGGGATTCAAGTGTGCTTTTGAGCAAGCTAGGCGCATCAAAAATGGTGTACACCCGCTCTCCATTGACAACAAAATGGTTGTTGTCATGTGATTTGGTCAATATAGAAACAGCTTCTTTATTTGTGGAACTATGATCACATACAGTTGCAACCACCTTAAAGCCTACCTCATGCAACTTCTTCACAAGAATCACAATTATATCTTTCAAATCAGAAGCAGAAAATGAATCACCAGTAAAATAATAAGCAACAGGTATTTTATAATTAAATGCAACACCTCTAAGCATAAAGACAAACACACTGTCAGCTGGTGTGGGTCCGTGTTCATTTTTGGACACCAAATATTCAAACCCCAATATCTGATCCAGAGTTTTATCATAATTCACATGTGGACTAAGAGCAATCTGTTGGAAGATAAGGGTACAATGGGGATCCAACTTGTACTTTAACATCTCCAAACGTAAATAATCAAAAATGCATTCAATAGGCCCCGAACTTGGAAAAGGTATTTTTGTTAGAGTGCTTTTTAGATTATCAACCGAAGGCAATAGAAAATGATAACTTAAATACCTATACAACTTGGGGCTTCTTTTGTACAGACTTAGACCTAATGTTTTATCCTTACTCCACTTTTCATCCGATTTATCGTCATATTTCAGCTGAGGTTTCAAAAACTCAAAGGTAACATTCGATAAACTATCCTCTATTACTTGAAAACAGCCTTTGTTATATAAATTTACCAAATCGGCCATATAGGTGCTCTCATTCTTCAAATACCCTTTTAATTTGCTCAACTTATCACAAGTGTTTTTATGAATTTGCTTCATTTCAGGTTTTGATGAAGTCGGTTCATCTTTGATGGACAAAAAATGGTATTCGTCTTTATTTACTTCAGAATCCAAGGTTTTTGAAGATGAAGGACTTGATTCTGAGGTACCTCCTTCCATATTATAACAAAGCTTCACCAGAAATACACAGTGTACAACGATTTCTGTTAATTGTCGGTTAAGCGTAAACATACAAAAGAGCGGTTTTTTAAACTTCACATAACCTCAATAAACTTTCAACCTACGCAATGCCACGTTGCCAAACCTATCACCCTTACATTTGTAACTAAAAACACCATAACAATTATATTTAATTAACAATTTGTAGTTAAAATATAAAAGTTCAGTTACATTTACGATAATACTTCAATATTTATTAATAATTCGTATTTTATTTGCCTTTTTGTATTCATTCTGTATGAATATGGCAACGCTGCATGGTCATGGCATGCTTAAAATTTAAATTGCGATTCTTTTCAAATATTTGATTGGATTGTGGGTAAAAAATAAAACTTATTATTAATATTTAACATTTATTTGGTAACTTATTGTTTCTTACTTGAGAATAATGTAATTATAGTACATTATAAACCATAAAAACGAAATAAAAACATTCAGTGAAGAACGCAGGGCATCAAAACAAACCAAACGTATCTATAAGTGCATGAGATTCTAAATCATGTTTATATACAAAATTAGTGTAAATTAAAAATGTTGACGTCACGTAAAACGATTTACAACACCCCGTCGAATAAAATATCTACATTATTATTGCTAAAAAACTATGTTTTTTACCAGACAATGACACTCTACTATACATAGTATTTATATGGTATTTATAAGCTGCCGCAACGAAAATGACGTCATGACTTGACACCTTGGAAAAATGCAGAAAAAGCGCGATTTTCACCGATTTCTTTGTCTGGGCAGTGTTTTTGAATTTTTTTGAAAGTGTATGGCACATTTGACTGCTTTTCTTGCATTTTTTTGGTATTTTATGGCATTTACTATTTACTACGCGTTAATTTAATATTAAAGCCAAAATTATTGCACTTGGACTATTTTTATGCAAAAAAAATGGAAATACGTATCTACAAGCATTTTTTTATATACTTTTTCTGTACATTCAACGATTTTTATATAATTATGTAACATTTTCGAGATTTTTGTTGTGACAACAAAATCATGAAAAATTAAAAGAATAAATAAAATGAATACTATTTTTTCAGTGAGGTTTATGATATGAGCCTAACATATGTTTTGTTGGTTATTTTTAAGTCTAAAATTTCACACATAATATGTTTACATTTAAATAATACTAGTTGTAAGTACAAATATACTGAATTATGTTGTTTTGTCTTTGGTAAAATAGGCTTAAATACCCGCTATTCAAATCAGTTAATACCAACCTTTTCGGGCCAAATTAATATGCTGGAGCCTGGAACTCGGTTGGACCTGAAAAATTTTGTGAGGAAAACTTGAAAAAAAAAAAATTTTCTCACCTCTCTGGGGCCCAGCTGAGAAAGGGGGCTCTTGATAATGCTGATCCGACTCGGGGCCCCCAGGATAGGATGGGAACGAAGTTGGCATGCCTGAGTCGGCCTCGTAGTTTGTGGCAAAAGCCGAATCGGCCCCCTGTTTAAAACGTTGAAAAGCGAAAAATGCGCAACCCGCCTAAAAAAAAAACATACTAAAAACATTTTTTTATTTTTTTTTATTTACCCAAGTAAATATGGAGAAAAACGAGAATGCAATAGCAGCTTGTACATTATTAACCCCATATTCATTAGCAGGCGACGTGGATTTTCCCCATTGATTCGTTAGGTACCAAAAACCCACAAAATACAAAAACGCCCATGCTCCTACAATAAAAAACGTATTTTCTTCATTATACACTAAAAATTCCATAAAAATCGCAATATAAATACGAAAGTTTCAAGGCCTAAAACGTCAATTTGACGTTTGTAGCCTTAATCATGTACAAGTATGACCTTGACAGATAAAAAATGAATTTTTGCTGTCAAATAAAATTTTTGTAACCCTAAAAATATCATTAAAACCGTGATATAAATACAAAATACAGAAAATACCATGCTCCTACAATATAAAACGTATTTTCTTCATTATACACTAAAAATTCCATCCAAATCGCGATATAAATACGAAAGTTACGATTTAAAGGCCTAAAACGTCAATTTGACATTTGTAGCCTTGAAAATGTACAAATGTGACCTTGACAGATAAAAGTGATTTTTTGCTGTCAAATAAAATGTTTGTAACCCTTAAAATATCATTAAAACCGTGATATAAAACGTATTTTCTTCATTATACACTAAAAATTCCATCAAAATAGCAAAATAAACACAAAAGTTACGATTTCAAGGCCCAAAACGTCAATTTGACGTTTGTAACCTTCAAAATAAACAAATGCGACCTTGACAAACAAAAGATAAATTTTTACTGTCAAATAACATAGGTATTTATTACACCACTTAAATTTAATTGAATTTCTTACTTGACCTACATAAACTCAAAGGCCATAAATACAGCTAATAAAAATTCCATTGGTGTTGAATTACCTGAGAATCCTAGATCGCCCAAAACATAGTGTTTTCTTGTTTTGACTGAGGACATTTGTTCGAATAAATATTCTCCTGCAATGAAACCCATGCTGGCCAAAAAGGCTATAACGGAAATGCCTACTCCATAGTTGCACGCGTTTGAGTCCCCATTATAGAGACACTTGTTTTTTTTGGAGGCTTCATCGTATAACCAGCCTTGAGAAGAAATACATCCAAAAACTATTATCGAGAAAAGCTGAAAATAAACATCATAGAAAAATAGTTTATTTGGGCAGAATCTAGTGCGTTGTTAGTAACAACTTGTTACTTAACAACCAATAAAAATGCAGCTAGTATATAGATAGTCATTTGTTTTATTAACATAAATGTTTATTTAACGTAAATTAAACATTATTATCGTTAAAAAAGCGATAAAAATGTACAGTAAAACGAAAAATTATCAAAATTTATTTGTTAAAAGTATATTCTTGACCCAAAAATCAAATAATCAATGAGACAAATGACACACCCCCACCAAGAACCTGTCAAAAAATCGATTATTTGAAAATCGCGATTTTACGTTTGATTTTCGAGCTATCCGAGCAGGGTTTTTTGCAAATTTTACCCAAAAAAATTTCTTACCCAGCAAACTGCCCGAAGTATCACTTGGGGCCTCTGCACGAACGATATGGGGTCGAATGCACCCCCAGCTTTGCCACCACCATAAGCGCCCTGTGCTTCCATGTTTTGAACACTGCTGAAACAACGTTGCCAAGTCCTGTGGCTGTCAGATTATAATGTCAAAAAAATCCTCATAAAACCAAAATAACCCTAAATTATTACCTTATTTGTTTTAATTTAACTCTACAATGTTATTTTGTCGTGTAAAAATCAATTAATATTGTTTAATAACGAATATATTGCATAATTGTTAAGTTGGTAGTGTCATTCTTGCCAAATTTGATAACACAAATTTAAAAATCAATAAAAAATTATATCAAATAATGTTATTACGCCTCGTATTCAACAATATTATTGCACTAGACGTATAAAATAACATTAAAAATGCTGATATTCACTGTTTTAAATGAATTTAAGCACTCTTGTTGAACAAGTAGTTCAAATGTATCGATAAAATTTGACAGTAGTTTTGACGGTTCGCTGTCAATAATGTTTTTGTGGTGTTTTTAAGCAAAAAAATACATTAATATGGCATTTTTGGAGGTAAAAACAACAAATTATGACACCTAGAATGTTTGTTAATGTTTTGTATTTTTTAGTGGCGTAAATTCCACTTTTTCGACATAAAACAGGGCGTTGATAACGGGATAATAGCCGAATCGTTTAAGGTTGTTATCAAAAAATATGCTTAAAGTATGTTAAAATGTTTAGTTGTAGGAAAGTCTTGTAACAACATCATCCAGCGGTAATAATCATTTAGTATTGGGCGATTCTTTAGGTCAAATACACTTGATATCACGAACATGGCACATTACAAGTTTTAGGGGATATGAAATATCCGTGGATTATAGTTATCAGCTTAGAAATTCGCCTTTATTAGTCACGATAGGGGTAAGACACTAGAATTAAGATGTTCCTAAATGTTAAGGCTTTTTATGACTGTGATGAATTTTTAAACTGTGATATATCAACTCTGTGATAAATGTTCTTTTATATATGCAATGTTTGTGTTATGAGTGTTTTTGCTTTTCTATATACATCTATGTTATGTGCATTTCTTTTCTGTTTCTGTAATACAACCTTTTGTAAATAACACCAATAAATGATTTGATTTGATTTGATCTATCAATATAGCAGTTTCTTAGTTATGGCAATTAATTTGGTTTTTACTATAGTTTTTAAGACAAATCTAGCTGTTAAAGACAGTTATATATCTAGCCAATATTTTAGCATGATGAACCTGGGATAAACCCTTTGATTAAGGTATGGGATACAAGTCGTTTGGACAAAAACGGTACACCATACTGCTGCCGAATCACAAGGGCACTACCTGGCAACAGAGCAGTACAAGCAAGTGTTTTGTGTGTGCATGATAGTTTGCAGCTAATGGCTGTAGGTTTTGTCGATGGATCTTTGGTTTTATACAGGTGATTAATCATAAATTATAAATTTGTTCTTAATACACAAAATAATTTTAGAGGTGATATAACTAGAGAAAAAAGTTGCAAGCAAAAATTATTGAGGGATGCAAGCTCTATGGTGACGGGGTTGGCTTTTAAATCGTCGGCAGCAAATATTTTTTTGTATATAGCGACAGATTGTTCTGTAATTGGTTACAATATAACGCATAAAGATAAGGAACAAAAGGTGTATAATATATTTTCGAAAATAATGTAAAATCAATTATTCGTTTTTTAGTTTCATTTGGATAATAAAGGGTGCGCCAAAAATTGCACTGTTTTAGCTGAATCCACACAGGAGAGTCACTTTATGGTGGGGAGGAATGATGTAAGTAAATTTATGATATCTATGAGTTTTTTGAAGATAATTAAAAGAAATTTGTAACAAATATTATGGGGCGCCGTTTTATTTTTTGTTTTTAAAGTTTCGAAAAAAAACGGAAAAATTTATGAAAAAACTGATTTTTTTCCAGGCCTTGAAAAAATTGTCTTTTTTGGGAAAAAATTTTTTTTTGTTAAATATACACATTTAAAAAAAAGTAGCAATTAACGACTTATTTTATTATTATTTTAATTAATAAAAATACTACAACTACAATACATATAATGAATGATTTATAAAGTTAAATTACAAAATTATAAGCACCGAAATTTTTTTTTGCGGCCCGGTAGAATATTCTAACTAAATTAAAATAAAAGGAATAATTATTATAATCATAATATTATGATTATAATCAGCGTTGGAAATTTACTTTTTTCCATAAAATTGACATTTTTTCGTATTACCCTTTGAATAAAATTGTTCTGAACATTTAAAATAATGATATTTTGGATTTTATAATCGCATGTTTATAACAGCAAGAATTTGGCAGCGTTGAATTTTGACCAAGATAGTTAAAGATTTTTATTATAGACATATTAATATGCAGATGGTTTTAATAATTAACCATTTTGTTTGTTTTCTGTTGTATACCAATTGTTTTGCCAATGTTTTTTTTTTCATTGTATTTACGATATTTTCAGTTGCATTTACATAATATAAATATTATAAAATTTGATATAACCTAAATTTAATTTAGTTTACAATTCGTATCATAAAGTTAATTTTTTTATCTGGACTGCGGCAACGTTGCAAATTTAGGGTTTTGGTTGGTAAATACAGTTGTCAAGTTGGTCGCAGTGATTAAAACAAACTAGTTATAAATCTAATTGTGGTTATGTATAAATTATTGTCGGTTACATTGTGCAGTTGTCAAGTTGAGTTGTCGAAATTCGTAGTTAAAAATGCAATTAATTTGGCTTTGGCGGTGCTTGGATGAGTAAAATCATGTAAAAAAAGTAGTTAAATATAGGTTGCTTTACGGCCCACAAGAGAAAGTATTCCTGGCGGATAATAATCTTCGCTTTGAAAAAAATTTATATAAAAGAAATTAAAATTTTTTTGGGAACGTAAATGTTGTCCAATGGTAATGTAATATTTATAAAACCAAATTCGTTACTTTTTTACTCCAAAAATGTCCATTAGGCGATGTACTTTTTCTTCCATTGTGGCATTTGGCATAATTTCATCAAAATGAAGTTTTGCCCTCAAAAGGGCTTTTACATTCGAATTCGATGCTATTATTTTTGGCATAATTATCTTTTTATTTATAATAATTATTGATAAGTAAATTATCAATAATAAATATTATTGTCAATTTGACAGTGTCAAAGTATTTAATTAAATTCTTTAGCAGAAGTACCATTTTTAAATACTAAAAATACCAAGTCAAGCTGGCATGAGCCACCAACCTAACAAAAAAACACGAGTCCAGATAAAAAAATGAACTGTACATGGATATTAATATGAAAAATATATTATTAACATCCTAAAATTGTATTTCAGTAATTTTTGAGATATAGACGTTTAAAGTTGGCCCACTTTCAGGCGATATATTGTTACACTTCCGACGGTAGAGGGCCGTGCTACGCAGTAGATGGGGAAAAGGTGATGTTAGAGTGGTTTAGAAGTTACCTAATCATAATATCGAAAAACAGCCGTCCAAACATACCAAGTTTGACCGGGGAAGTACAGGGTACCCAACAAGGCGACTTGATAACAGTACTCGACATATACAACAAATTCATCGTGTTTTCCGCGATAGTCCCGAAAGTCAAGGCTATAATGAGCGAATGGGGGGGTTTCTACATACTGGACGAGGAAAATCGGTTGTATCACCTGGATGAGAAGGATTTGCAATCGAAGTTGTCGTTGTTGTTCAAGAAAAATTTGTATGATGTGTCGATTAGGATTGCGAAGTCGCAACAGTACGATTCGGACGGTTTGGTGGATATTTTCAAGCAATACGGGGACCATTTGTGCGACAAAAGCGATTTTTCCGGCGCCATAGAACAATACATCAAAACCATAGGCAAGTTAGAGCCCAGCTACGTTATACGGAAGTTTTTGGACTCCCAGCACATAGAAAAGTTGACCATGTACTTATTAGCGCTGCACAAACAAGGACACGCCACCGAAGACCACACGACTTTACTGTTGAACTGCTACACCAAACTCAACAACACGGTGGGGCAGACTGACAGTCTAAAGGACTTTATCCTGATGAAGGAGGGCGATTTTAACTACGACGTCGATGTAGCTATAAAGGTGTGCCGCCAAGGCAGCCCGGCAGAGGCGCTAACCTTAGCGAAAAAGCACGAAAAACACGACTGGTACATCAAATTGCAGATCGAAGACCACCAAAAGTACGCGGAAGTCCTGGAATACATCCGCAACTTAAAGTTCGAAGATGCCGTGTTTTACATGAAAAAATATGGCAAAATTTTAGTCGAGAATGAGGCCCATGAAACCACGCAGTTCTTAAAGAAGTTGTGTATGAATTATAAACCTGAAATATCGCAGAACATAACCGACAATATCATTTTGAACTACGATTTAACTCAAAGCGCAGATCCGGAAGAGTATATACACCTATTTTTGAACAACTCTGAACGCCTTGTAGAGTTTTTAGAATATTTAATAAACGAGGGGGGCATTTTTAGCACCCCCGTCTATAACACCCTCCTGGAACATTACCTGCACGTTTGGTCCAACCTGGAAGACTCTGCAGACAAAAACAAGTGCGCTCAGAAAACTTTGAAGCTACTGCAAAACTTGGACGTGAAATACGACAAATCTCAAGCGTTGGTTGTGTGCCACATGCACAATTTCAGCGAGGGGATTCTTTATTTGTACGAGGAACAGAAGTTGTATCAGCAAATTTTACGTTACCACATCTCGAAGAACGACTCGAAAGCCATCTCGGCGTGTTGCCGTCGTTTCGGGCACCAAGAGCCCTCTCTATGGGTGCAAGCTCTATGGTCGTGCGTGAGGGATTCACAGCAACCCACGATGGACCTTCTGAACGAGGTTTGTGATTGGTTGATAGGGTTAAGGGGCCGCCAACGTCAAAATTTCGCACTTTTTGAAGTAAATCTTGTTTGCAGACCAGAAATTTGCAAAAAGATTTATTATAACTGTCATTTTTAATTTTTGTTGGTATTTTTCAGCCCATTTTAGACATCTGTTATTTTCAACACCTGACAAAAAGTTTTTTTTTAAAT